TGGGCTGTCGGGGGAAGGCGGGAGGCGGTGGCCGGGGGCTGCGGGTGCGTGAGGGGGAGAGCTCTCCCGCCCGTCGCCTCTGAGGGAAGGGGTCTCGCCCGGCCCCTGCCTGAGGGAACGGGTACCCCGGGGGTTCGTCTTCCCCGGGACGGTTTCCAAAAACGGCTGAGGGGTTGTCCGTGCCGACCCCCGCACCCCGCCAAAAAGATGGGCGACCTCCACCTGGGGGGGCAAGGGGCGCACCTCGGGGTGCTTGAGCCCCGGGGGTGCCATGTCCCGCCGCCGTCCACCAAAACCTTTCCCAGGCTGTTGCGCCTTCCCAGTTTCCCGCCTTCCATGTTTCCCCCTCTATAAAATGGGATTGCTGGCCCTCGCCGCCATTGGGTGCCCTCGCACGTAGCCCTGGGGGGGGGCTCATGTCTGTGAGGGGAAGCTTGGCCAAGGCTTGGTTGGGTGCGCTTGGCCGTGGAGGGGCTGGGGCGAAGGGAGGGAGCGCGTCCCCGCCGTCCTCTGTGCTGCTAGGGTCAACACCAAAGTCCAGAGCACCGGCAGCGAGTGGCTTTTCAAAAGTCATTAACTCTTCCTTCAGTGAGTCAGCCCGCTTAGGCTTTTAAAATGAGGTCTTCCGCACGTTTCTGGAACGTCCTGCTTCAGTTGACCAACACCTGTTGCTCCTTGGTGTCTCCGAAGAAAGAAGCGTGACGGAAAGCTTGGGAAAGAGAACGACCAGCGGAGAGTTCAAGTTTACAAAAACATCTACTTAAGGCGGTTGATAGGGAGGCAAAGGAACACAGAGGCAATAACCCCGGCGGCTGCGTCCTGTCACTCTCCAGTGGCTGCAGAGAGGGATTTAAGGGGAAACAAGGTAGTGGGTGAATGAACTAACAGTTGCTGAGCTACAAGTTACAAGCACTTTCTGTAAGCCTTCCTTGCGAGGAGCCTTTTCAGAATAAGCGGGGCTTCAAATTATGCATAGGCTCTATGGGATTGCTTCATATAAATAGCACTAGCAGAAGTTGGCTTTTTCTGGCTGATCCACCAATTCCAGTGAAAACACGATGAATCCCCTCTGTGTTCTCTGAGAGGATATTATGGTATATGATTACTATCAGCAAGTTTATTGCTGAATTGAACTGCACGAAGAACACTCCAGAAGGTAGGTGCAAGCTGCCCACTGAGTGTAAGCTATTGGCCTTGAAGTCCCATCTGCAGCACTGTCTTCCACGCTCCGGTCTGTGATTGGAAAGTATTTTTTCTCTTTAAATTCCAGGTGTTTATAACATAATTAAATGCCAGCTTCCAAACTCTGCAAACTTTCCTAGAATATATACTTTTTACAGTAATTGGCAATTTATTTACTCCAGTGTTGTTTCTGTTTTTCCTGTCTGGTAATGTGTGCACAAGTCAGTGGAGAGTAATGCTATTGTTCATGCAGCCAAGTGGCTGAGCTGAGTTTAATGCCTCTGATCCTTCAGTTTAAACCAACAGCTTGAACTTGAAGGCAGCAAGTCTTATGCTTCTGTGACACCAAGCTTTTAAAAATTAAAACAACCCACAAAACTAACCTCAGGCTGTACTTCCCTGCTAAAGCTGACATTTGTTTACTCCTGCTCTTTGTTAAATTTTAGAACGCAGCTGCCTTAGCTCTACCTGCACACATATCGGTAAGGCAGGAACATTTCTACAGGCAATTGGGAGGTGGTGTTAAGAGGGAAGGAAGACCCCAGGGCAGCACAGTGGGATTTGGGGTGGTGAAGGGCAGTGGAATTCATACATGGGCTTTCCCCATCTGTCAGTAGAGATGTTACTGCATCCTGAGTTCGTGTGGCATTTAGTTTCTGCACCACAAGCCCCTGGAGCAGGTGGTGGTGGTGCCTGGTGGTCAGCTTTAAAACCAAGTCAAGGAATGCAGTCTCCCTGACCTTCAGGGAAAGTCATTCTGTTTAAGACTGGAGTCCTGAGCAGGAGCAACAGAAATATAGATCTGCAGCAGCAACCTGCATGTTCTTATTTTCAAGACTAAAAACAGTAGGAGAGAATTTTGGGGGCCTGCAGTTTGTCCTGGAGTTGCTGATTCTCAGAGAGAGACTTCTCTGAGAAATCCAGAGATGTGTCAGTCAGTGTGAGGGCTCACCTCACAGGTAATGTTGTGTATAGGTAGAGTGGTGAAAGGGTCTGTTTTGGTTTTGTGTCTACTTCACTGATTTCTAATGGCTCTTCACCTGCCACCTGTATCATTTTCTCTGTTGTCTAGTATTCATCAAGAAAGAAAATGCCGACAAGTTCTTGGAAAGAGCAAAACGTGCTAACTCTTTTTTGGAGGAATTGAAGAAAGGGAATATTGAAAGAGAATGCAATGAGGAGCGCTG